GAAGCAACCAAAAAGGTCCAGCAAGCAGCAGGCTGGCTCTGTTCTCGATAATCTTCAGAAGAGTCGCTCCGTTGCTAATCGACTCATACAGGCTAGCCAAAATCAATTCTTCCAAACAAATATTTTGGCCATGATGGAGTTGAGTGGCGAGAGTGACCATCTTCTTGGTCACCTGTAAGGACTTGGAGCAAAACACAAAGCGTGTCAGCCATAAGGCTAGAAACGCAATGTGTTCGACATTCGACACAACATCTGTCGACTTATCGTGGTAGTGATTGATGAAGGTGGTGTAGGTTGGTTTTGTGGCAGAGAATCCAATCTGATCCTCCGACATTTCTTCCGGGTCGAAGTAGTCCCCGGTGGGTCGAAGGCCAGTGATGGCGGCCACATCGAAGAGTGTGGGAGTCAGCATTCCACAGGGAAGATGGAAGGTGAAATGGGTGTAGTCCCAGAAGAGTAGAGAAGCTATCAACATCTCTGGGGAATAGTTAAGACCTGTCTTCGACAGCATAACCAGGTCGAAAATCCCCATGTCTTTCCAGATCGAAGCCTGGCGTTTCTCCATTTTTTCCAGCTAAGCACTATAATCAGGAGTAAGGCTAGGGCCAGACCTGAAAGCCCTAACACCTTTGTTGAAGAAACGGAGGTCGATTTTCTCTTTAGCAGGATCTTCATTATCCTCTGCATATTTCTTGGAGCATGCAACCGGTTTGAGTCTCTCAACTACCGGAAAATAACTTTTGATCTTCATGGCCTCAGCAATGCTTGGGTACAGTGGGCCAGACATAGCAAAGATCTGGTTGGAATATCCAACCGGAATCATAAGGTGGCGTGAGTAAGCATCACGTACAGCAATGTCCAAAGGTTCAGGGACCCTTCGTTGGCCCGTGGGAGTCACTACTGGAGCGGTCGAGAAAACCCTAGGCTTGACATTTCCAGAGGGAGCGTTGGCGCTAGGAGCGTTGGAAGAACCAGATGCCATTGTTGGTAACGAGGTTGAAGATGAAGTGAAAAGCAAAAGGTTTGCAAAGTTGACAAGAGTTTGTATGCAAAGGAGGAATTCTGAAAGCAAGGTAGCGTAAAAAGTCCCACAAATGGGTACTTACTGCTATTTATAGTAGTGGGGAAATCCCCAAATTCGAGGACATTAAATGCCATTTAATGTTGCAGAAGGTAGTGGGACACGTGGCGTCTCCCTGTTGTTTTAGCCGTTCTGCAGAAATGGAAGGGTGCAGCGTGCGCCCTCGTTTTTGGGAATTGTCATGATGACAATTTGTGAAATGACGTTTGGCACACTGCACGCCGTACTGAGGTGACGTCTTAGGTACGGATAAATGATGGTTTTTCTTGGGATTGCCAGTGGTTGGTAGAAGACAACAAAAGTGCACAATTTAATTTGTAACTAAAAAATGAAAAGACAGGTGTCGAATGGCATTTCAAAGAATGCCTTTTTCTTTCAGAGTCGAAATAAGGCATTCATGGGGGGCAATTTGTTGGCTCTTAAATTCGACACCCTTGTTTCATTAAGGTCAGCCATTAAAGCTGAAGGTTGTTTTTGACCAGCTAAGTCCGTCGAAATGCCCATCGAAAGATGGCAATGTACTTAGAAGATTTCTTCCAAGGGAGAAGTTGGTTGCCTTCGACGTCGAAGGTGTTTCTCGTCGAAGATGCTTCTCGACGAAGATGTTCGATGGTACAGAGTGGAACGGTTTGAAATTCAAGCATTTGGAGGGAAAACGGTTTCCAGCGGTTACCAAGTGCAACGTACAAAGATCTGAAGCGTCGAACGTTCAGAACGTGCCAAGTGGGATCATCTCGAAGCAGTGTAACTGCCCGACGGTTACTTGGGATGTTTTAGTATAAATAGTAGTAGTTCACGCAGTTTCTCGCGTGTGTTCACAATTATATACAAAGTCACTCATATAGATTCGAGTACACAGCGTGTGAGAAAGAATTGTTGAGAAATGTATGTGTGAAACACCAACTTTATTAATCAAAGTCATTTACTTTTCCAGAAACTTTACTTGCTTTCTTCTTTACATTCCTGTCGAAGTCCTTTACTTTAAGCCTTCATTTATTTTACCAAGCCTACTTCTTCATGCAATTTACTTAAAGCCTCTTTATTTTATTGTCATTTAACCATTATCCAATTTAATCAAAACCTCAAAATCAACCTATGTCCTAGGATCAATCTGATCGATCCTGCGAGTAACCAAATAAGTAACCATTTGGAGGATCAGCGGTTGTTTACCAATAACCACGGTAAACACTGACATGATCAGCAACAGAGATCCCCTTCATACATCTCTACCCTACTTCTCATGGCATCATAAAGTAGTAAATCCCTACTTCTCATGATCTTTAGATAAGCGGTAAAGAAATGCGATAAAGTGCAGAGAAATACAAAGTTAGTAGCGGTGACTACTACAAGCAAGCCAATCATTTAAAGCCGACGAAAACAATGGAGAAGCAGGGAGTACACGTCGAGCAAGATTTACTAAGCAACAGACAAAGTCAGAAACAATATCCAACTAAGAAAAAAGCAAATGTGTGTTGCGAATGCAACGCGTAATCATATGTTTCTGCATAAAGCATCATAAAATATCACATGCATCAGGACAACATATAATATCATATGAATTTCTCAGGACAATGATAAATAAGGTGTGTCGCATCAGAAACAAGCATAAGCCATATGCTTCGATCACATAACAACTTGTTATGTCACATGATCAAAAAAAGGATGTACCTTGCACAATAAACAAACGCGTCAAAAAATAACGAGGCGCGACGATACGAAATATGAATAAAAAACTAAGAGAGAAAAAGTATTTTAATTAGTTTTTTTTATGTGAGGAAAATTCTAAAAAAACTAAAGAATTAATTCCTAGAAAATTTCTATTATATTCTACTATTTTTTTATTGTTTTTATTATATTATTTATCAAGCATTTTTATGGACAAAAATTATGAAAGAGAGATTATAATTAAAAAATGAAAACAAAATAAAAATAAAGGAAACATGGGTGTGAAGTCAGAATGGAAGTGTATGATCTAGTAAGGCGTTGGGCCCATCCAATTTGAGTACAGGAGGATCCTTTTTTTGTATATCAAGATTTAACCAAAAAATTGATGAAATGGGCTTAGAGGAAGCAGATTTCGGCCCAGGGTATGAATTTAGCAAGCATGAGTTCCATGACAGTTTTTGTTTTGTTTAATTAATCAGATTTACAAAAATCTATATGGATTAGGCTTCATGATAGGCCCAACAAAATTAATGCCCAGTCTAATACATCACTTTCAATTATCCATTATGATTATCTATTACAAAAAAAACAAAAAAAAATTAAATAAAACAACAAAAAGAAAAAAGAAAACAAATTAGGGTTATATTGGGGATGACAGTTTGAATTCTACAATTCATCTCTCTCTCTCTCAAACGCGAACGGAGGTGAAGCTTCAATCTATTTTCTCCTTACAATGCCTCTCACCGTTAAACAATACATTCCATCCGCTTTAACTCGTGGCGTCTATTTCCTCCGCCATGTCTCGTTCCATCCGGTATCAACCTTCTCACATCCGCACGCGGCTCATCCTTCCACATCTGTTTCATCGTTGCAATCGGACAAAATCTTCCAACGAACAAGCTCCACTGTCTCTGTCTCACTCTCTCCTTAAGTCATGATTCGTTCGAACAAAACCAGCATCAAATAGCGTATTCGAAGAAGAAACTGAAAATATCACGGCTTACCTCCTAAAGATCCGTCCAGTGCGTCTTCGAGGGGATGAAGATGAATAGAAATCAGGTAGTGCTTCTGTATTTAGGTATGAATCTATTAATTCATATGTGTGACCTCTTCTTCTCAATCTTCTTATTTTGTGAATCAATTGTTGTGCACCATGATCTGTTTGTTGATGCTTGTGTGTTGATGCTGAAATGAAATTGTTGTTGCTGTAGAAGATGAACGTAGAAGGTGGAACGAAGAAGATGAAGATATGCAGCAGTAGGAGATGACGATTGAAGCTTGATCAAGATGCTTATGATGATGCGAGAGATTGAAAAGCTTCAAGAATTTAAGAGAAAAGCTTCAAGAATATTTTTAGTGATTCTCCCAAAGTTGTGAAGAATTGAGATGAGAAAAAACAGAGAGAATTTTGGAGGAAGCTTGAGGGTGATAATGGAGGAGTGAAAGTGGAGAAACTAGTGCATAAGTGCGGTGATGAAGAGAGAGGGCAAAGAAATATTTTTTGATTTTTTGTGGTGATTCGTCCAGAGATTGAAGAATGAAGAAGATTGAAGATGATGAAGGATCTTGAGGAGTTGCCGAGAGAGTAAGGTTGATAGGGGAGTATTATATTTTTCTTGTGACATTTTGTTATGAAAATCGTGGACCTCCTTATCTCCTTTTCTCTTATCCTTTTTCTGTTATCTATTCGTTAGAAAACAGTTAGGAAATTTGTTAGTTGTTAGTTACAGTTGAGGAGTTCTGTTAGAAGATGGTTAGAGGTTTTTTTATTTATTTTGTTTTTTATTTTCTATTATATCCCCCGCTGAAAGTTTGTTACAGAATTAGTTAGGACAATAAGAGAATTGGCTTTTCTGCTGTAATTTCGGTGAAAAGCTGTTAGGAAATCGGTTATAGTCGGTTATATGAGATGGCGGAATCGGTTAGGAGGTTGAAGCTGTTAGTTTTGTAATTTTGGTATAAAATGTTAATAAATTATTTTTGGAATTTTGAATTATTCTAATCTTTTCTGTTATAAGTTTGTAATGTGCAGGGCTTATGCAGGGCTGTTTATTCATGGTTGCAGGTATGCTTGTGTTTAATGTCAATTGGCTTCTGTTTTCTTTGATATGTAGGGCTTCCATCATTAATTGGTTTAAGCATGTGAAGGCAAGGCATGATACAAATGACTTTGATGGCAAGGAAACATGAAGTTGGATGAAGATGAAGTAGAATTTCTGTTGCACCCCAAAACTTACCCTCTTGATTATGGATTATGTTTCATCATACATACTCATGCAGTTTTGAGATGGGATCAAGGTATTTCTGGTTTCTCAAGTTCTCTACAAGCTATGGAATTTGGTTGTATTGCCAATCAGCCCAATATGGATCTCATCTCCTCATTATTTTGATCATTCGGGTTACTAAGGCTTCTCAAAGTCTCATGACATCTCATTTGATTCTTTGTTCCATAAAAGAACTAAATTTACAAGTGTTGATTCTTGAATCACTATTTTGTTATGTATCTCTTGAGATTAGGGTTTATTTCCTTATATTCCTCATAAGATTAGGGCATCATATGAAATTCACTTGCACAAGAGGATTTCGTCAAGACGAAAGGGCATGGAGATTTATCTTAATAGTTCACTAATCACCAGTTCAAGAAACCTTATTGTTTAAGGTGAATTTTGGTACGAAGGATGATATTGTGATAAAGACATCTTTTGTTTCCTTCATTTATATGAGGCTTGTTGGTTCGAATCTGAGATTGAATTTCGAACTCGAGAATTCAGTTGAACTTAGGTTCATTATTATTTTGAACTTCGATTATTTCAATTGAATTGGAGCGCTTAAATAGTTGCAAGACTAGAAAGGTCGTGTGGATTTCTTGAAAGATACTTAAAACCTAAGGGTTTTGTCAAACAAGTTCATTAAGGCACCATGCAAAATTGCAAAGTTTATTCATGGTTTCAATTACCTTTCAAAGTTCTTTGAATTTGGGATTAAAAGAGGTTTTAACACAAATTTAATTCAACCATATCATTCAAAGTTACATTCATTTTCCAAATCGGATTCAAGAGTACCATTCAAAATTCAAGGTTTGACTCAAGTTTTTCAAAGAAGTTATCATTACTCAATTCCATTCAAGTGTTTCCAACAAATTTTTCCATTTTATTTCAACACAAGTTACGCTCACCATTTACAAGTCCCATTTTTTAATACATCTTTTGTTTCTAAGTCACTTCAAGATTACAAGACAATTTCTAGTTTTTACAAGGAAAACTTTAATGAAATTCCTAATCTAGCAAGTCTAATTCTATAGTTTCTAAGAGAGCTATCTATTTGCTTCTCTTTGTAAATTCTCTCCAAAATGACAATCAGAAATAATTGTCAAGCCCAATAGCAAAATGATTTCACGATCTGTTATCAAAGTTCAAGTTTCAGCCCAAGCAAAGCAAAAGCATGATATTAGAAATTAAAGTTGCAGCAAGCTTATCAAAAATGCCAAGTCCAAAAAAAATCAGTTCAAGCAAAATTGATATTCCAGCTCAGCAAAGTAACAAACTTCCAGAGCAAACCTCAAAATCAGAAACAATCTCATCCATCTATTATATAACAAAACTTTCACAATAAACAGATCAAATCAAAACAATCCCCAACTGTTTTTCAAAACTGATACAGATATATAAACAAATTTCCCACGGATAATAGGGATTCTCCAAATCTTGGAAGAATCACAGAAAAAAGATCTGCAAAATTCATCTCCAAAAACTAGAAAAGCTTTTCAAAAATCAAGTTCATTCATGTATATCACAAAATCGGCAAGCTATCAAGCATAAACCCTAACAGTTCATCATCATCTTCCTAATCAAAAAACCCTTCAGAAATTCGATAAAGGAGAAGAAGAAAATATTTCTAAATCACAAGCACAGAGAGTCACAGAAAGCCAGAGTTTAGAGACAGAAAGATCTCACTGGAAGTATTGATTTAATACGCACAGATTCGAGCCTGACGGATCAGATCTCGTCTCCTATCCTCTGCCTATTTCCCGTTTTTTTAATCCCTGCCATAATTCGTGAATAATCTTGGCTAGTCGGCCGATCTAAGCAACTTAAGGTTTCGTTTTTCATTTCAAGATCTACGTGAAATAGTCAAGCATCTACAAAAATTAATATCGGATTAGTGATCAGAGAAGAGATACGAACATGAATATGTAAGAAAATCAAGGATCGGAGTATGTTCGCCGCTGTCGCGAGGAGATTTCTGACACGACGGAAGTGTCTTCACAGGCAAGCTCTAGAGGAAGAGAAAGATAAGAGAACGACAAGAGTGAAAAGAGAAAAAATTATCGTTTGTTTTTTTATTTATTTAATTATGGTTTAGAAAAATGTTTTATTAAAATAATCTTGATTAATACACTAATTAGACAGTGAAAATTCTCACCGTCCATGTGGCTATTTTGATAATTCTGTGCAAGTGCCTTGTCGGTCATATGATACCCCCTCGCCTTCATCGCCGTTAGATCACCAACAGATCTATACCAATCAAGATCCAACTCATCATATCTATTGCTTATGGTGGATTTTCAGTAGGCCTAACAACCAGATCCAATAGATCCAGAGTGCACTTCCCCATCATCCTTAGGGTGTCGCTCACGCATCACCATGATTAGATCTTCTTTATTAAGATCCAACAAATCAGATTTGAGCACACACGATGCTCCCCCTGGAGGGCGCCTCACCAGATCTAGTATGACATCCTAGCGCCTGGGCTTGCTCCTCATGAGCCCAACGGATTGCTCTTTGTACCCCCAATGTTACTCAATCCAGGCCCATTTTGTTTACTTTCTCTATATATTTTTATATTGTTTTGTTATTTGTTTTGATTTTTATAAAATAAAAAATATAAAAATAAAAAATATATTTTCTTATCCTAAATAAATAATAAAACTAAAAAAAAATCATTTTTATATTATTAATCATTTTTCTAATTAATTTTATTAAATAGATTGTTTTAGTTTAATTAATCGTTTATTAAATTTGATTGGGTTGTATTGATTGTATATTTAGACTTTTAATCTTATTGTGGATTCGACTCATACCCATTCATAAACTTGTACCCCCATTCCCATATGGCTTTTGTAATAGCTTAGAATTTTTATTTCTTTGTTATTTCTTTATGTGTTTAAATATTGCCATTATGCATATTTTGTTCAATTAAAAAACTTGGCCTCCTCTTGGGCTCGTCCTTAACAAATAGGTATTCACCTACAAATGCACACTTGCACACATTCATAGTTTGGTCGTTTAGAATACTAGCGCCACACTAGTCCTACTTTCTAGGAGCATGCATATAGCCACCTTTTATGGGCTTTTAATTTTTATCTTATGCATTGCAACAACTCTCTTCTCTCCCCTTGGTCCACATACCAAGCATTTTCTTAAAGGGTCTCATAGTTGAGTTTGGGCATGGTCATTCTTACGAGATTAATTAAGTTTTTCCCTTGATTAATCATAACCCGAATCAAATAACTTTGGTCCGTATACCATGTGTTTCCATGGATAAATGGGTCTCATGGTTGAGGGTAGGATCACCTACTCTCATGAGATTAACCAAGTACATCCCTTGGTTAATCATAACCCGATTAGATTCTCATACACCAAGCATTACATTTATCTTGTAGACGCTCGTGATATGATTTTTGCGATTGATTATTGATGTGACTCAGGTATGCCTAATCATTCGTTGGTTGAGGAGGTCCAAGGAGGCGTTCTATAGAGATTTCTTATCTCATACGCTTCGAATAGGCAATGGACCTATTCTGTTAGGTATCATCGTGACTTCATTCTTCATTCCTACACTTTACTACTTTTCTACATATCATGAGAAGTAGGAATTTTACTGCTTCCCTGGCCATGTCAAGCAATAATAGAGATGCATGAAAGAGACCTTCGTTGTTGATATCTGTCAGGAATTCCTCTAGTTTATTTAAAGAAATGTTTAAGGAAATTCCACATATGTGCCTTGTTTGCTTACTTGTTTGCTATACCATACTTCCCTTAGGATCACTCGATTAGACTAGCTTTCTAGTTAGACATTAAGATGGGTATCCATACATGCTAACATAGGGTAGATATTTCCCTTTCAAAACTCAACCTTAGGGCCATCGTTGTCTGATTACACTAGGGCTAGAGATTAGGATAGTCTCCCTTAGTTGTTTTCTTTTCTTTGCATATTGCATCTTAAAACGAAAACTCTCTTTTTCTTGGAAAGTCATAAAATATCTCTAACGAACTTAAATCCTTCTTCAAGGTAAAAAATACAAACCAATCTTAATTTTTTGTGCGCCTTTTGGATTTGTTTCTTAACTTTGATAAGTTGACATCTTGCCATTCTTACCATGATATTTTACTATCTATTTACTGATGTTTCTCCATCGCATATGTTTGTTATCCTACTTTGATTTTCAATATCATTGTTAAGTGTGATGTTTTATCATCTAAATTGATGTTTCTCCCTCCTTGCCATGATATTTTTCTATCTTTTTTCCGATGTTTTGCCATCGCTTATGTTTGTTATCCTACTTTGATCTTCGATATCATTGTTAGGTGTGATATTTTATCATCTAAGTTTCGATGTGTTATCATTTTTGCCATGATATTTTACTATCTTTTTGCCGATGTTTCGCCATCGCATATGTTTGTTATCCTACTTTGATTTTCGATGTCATTGTTAAGGTGTGATGTTTGATCATCTTATTCGATATTTTTCTATCATGCTGATATGTTATCATTTTATCTGAGTTTGTGTTGCTATTTTATGTCTTGTCGTCCTTGTTTTGATGTTTTTATCATCGTTGCTGATGTTTTGTCATTTTATCTGATGTTTTGCCATCTTGATTATCGCTTTTGTCTTTTTAACTATAAAACATAAACCAAGCAAAATATGTGAGCCGAACTACGGCTGCTCTGATTCCTTAAAATGGATACGTAGGCGGAGGCTTTCTGTGGGGCTTAATAGAGCATATATTTGTAAATTTTCCTTTATTTTCCTCACATTTTCTTTGCATTCATTCCCTTTTTAGCTTTAAGCCTTAGACATGGATTTTATGCACCCTTAGATTAGAACAACATGAGTGGATACCGTAGAGTACTACAAGCATGTGGGGTTTTAATACCTTCCCCTTGCATAATAGACTCCCTTACCCGATCTCTCGGTCGAAAGACTGTGATTTCTCCCACTTTAGATTTTCTCGATGTTTACCTTTCCCTTTTGGTGGGATAAAAGACGTTCGGTGGCGACTTCATTGATTTTATATCAGATGACGATTCGGCCGGTTATTCTAGCTGGTGACTTCACTAGGGATCAAGGTGTTCACCAATTGTTGGTCCATCCCAGAGTCGATCCTAGCTTGCGTTTGTTTGCTTTTCTATTGGGTGTTTATTTGTTTACTACTTAACTACTTTATTTTTTTATATGCTTTCATGCATTGCATTTTATTGCTTGGTTTCCTATACTCTGGATACTGCTGTTGTATGGTTTCTTTGATGGGTGGGTTTTTACTATGAGGTAAAAGGCCCAATATGTAAACCACTTGGAACACGTAGGAATAAAGTGGAGAGTCATGATGGCTAATAGGCGTATGCCCCA